TTGTGTTTGGGCTGATGGACTGCCTGCTCTTTCGGCCGATCTTGGCCCTTTTATGCAGCTGGCGATCGCACCTGAGACCCGGAAATAATTAATTCCTGCTGACTTAAGGTTATTGGATAACAATAATTGTGGAGCGTGTTAAGTGGGTCGAAGCTTGGTGCTTCGTTGACAATTGTTAGTGGGTCAGGGTGGTTTTGCTGAGGCTGCATCCCGGAAGGTGCGGGCTGCAGTTGGGAAAGGTGATATCTGAATTTGGGTCGGTAGGTCGATAATTTTATGCTAGCTTGACTTATTGTGAAATAACGCCAATGATATTTCCTATGTAGGCCGTCGATTGCGAAATGTCCCAAGAGGTGGGGTGTTTTAAATTATTGTGTGGACAAGAATGTGTAGAGTTGTTGGTCGAGAGTTCTTAATTAATTGTGAGCGTTGCTTAAGACTATTTTATTTCCCGGAGTTGCTGACACACCGCTATTTGTGGAGAACCGTGGCTAGAGCCATGGTTCGTTAGCTCTGTGTATATCAGTTAGATTATTGTCTCCCGCCAGCGTAGATGCGCTGACCCTCCGCCGTTTGTGACAAGCCATGGCTAGAACCCCCCCTTTCTTCCGGGTGGGTGATGGAGAGATTAGTGGCGTCGCTTGGCGGGTGGTGAAGTTCGCCTTTTCCTGTCCTTTGGCTTGTGCCGAGTCTCCGGATTCGTCACTGTTAATCTCGTCCCTTTACCGTGGCGTCGGTAACGTTATATTTTCTACTGCTGCTCTGATCGTGATCTTTCTGCTTGTCTGGATGCTTTGTAGTTGGTCTCTGCTTGGTGGGTCGCTTATCCCATATGACGATGGTTTTCTCGGCAGTTTTCTTTGGTAGTTCTTTGTCCAGGCATTCTTGGATCGGCGGTGCTATGTCGGGTGGCCAAGGATCCGTCGGTAGTTCTGGGTCGTCTTCGGTGGGTTCGGTGGCTCCGGGGTCAAAGGTTTGATTCGGGTCTTTCGGTAGGATGGGTCTGTCAAATGTAAATGCTTGGATCTGCGGGGCCAAGTCCGGCGGCCACGGCTCCGGGACTGGTTCGGGCTCATGTTCGGTTGGATCGGCGGCTTCGGAGTCAAATGGCTGGCTGGGGTCTTCGGGTAAGAGGGTTGTGTCAAAGGCGCTGGGCGTTTCGATCCTCCGTTGGTAGTCGCTTATGTGGGCGACGATCGGGGTGGCGTTGGCCATGGGTACGATGTTTTGGTACGCCGGGTGTAGTACTCGTGCTATACTACAGCCAGACTGGTACGTGAACAGGTGAGTCGCGATGACACCTTTGGTATCGCAGCAACGACTTGTGTGGGCGACGAAGATCTCGGACACGGCTCTAGGCATGGCTCGCTGCATGGCGCTAAGAATCATGTCAGTACGCGGAAGGTACTCCATTGTGTTGGCGAGGATCGGTGTGGCGTCGGCCGTGGGGGGGACAGGGCGGCGGTCTGGGCATCGTGGGGGTATCGTCCTGGTTTCCGGGCCCGCGTTGAGTGGCTCTGTGGATATCAGTTCAATTATGGGCCCCGACCAGCGTGGGGTTAGCGTGGCTGTTTCCCGTCTTGCTGGGCTGTCGGATGGTGGTTGCCGTTGTCCTTTTTCGATGCTGGTGGTTGGTTTTGAGGGTGTCCGTGCGTTCAATTCTTCCGTCGTGGCTTCTGTGCGTGGTAGGTCGTGGACGTAGGTTCTTTGCGATTGGTTGGGGTTTCTGGTATCGAGGTTCGGCGTCTTGTACGTGGATGGTAGTAAGTACGGGTTCAGTGGGCATGGGGCGATGGTCTCGTAGCTGTAGCAGCGTGGAGCCGCATTGGATCGTCGTTTCGGTGGCACCTAGGAAGTCCATGCCGACAATAACTTGTTTCAACATGTTTGGCAGGACCAGGAGCGGGATTTGAACCTCTCGTTGATCCAGCTTGATGTGCGCCATAGAACTTGTAGTCCTCTGACCGAGCCATCGGCCAGTCATATGGGACGCATGCACTTGCAGGTTGGTGTTGTTGTCAGTTGTCGGGCGAGGTTTGCACTGTTGAAGCTTCTGGATGCCCCGGTATCGATTGTGGCTTCCGTTGCGTGTCCTCCTATGGTCACCATCGCCACTATCCGGCCGTTGCTTACGTCTAGAGAGTTATTTAGTCGCGGGTTGGAGGAGGCGTCGTTCCCGGCTGATCGCATGTCGTTTCCCGACGTGTTTTGGCGGCAGCAATTTACGGTCCGTGTGCCGCGTTTGCCACATTCCCAGCAGAATAGGATGGAGGGATTATGGCAGTCGTATGCCGCATGCCCCGCTTCACCACACCGGCGACAGGCTGCGCGTGGGTTGGTGATGGGGGTCGTGATCATGTGATGGGCTACTTCTGGATTCGCCGGACTGTTTGGATGAGCTGGTGGTCTCCCTGGTGTGTCTGTCGATTCCCAATGGGGACTCAGAAATAGCGTCTGGTGCGAGTCGCAATTCCTCTGCTCTGAAGCCGGCCTTGCGTATCTTGGAGTGTTACGCGGGGGTGCGAAAGTGGTCGGGATGGTCTGCTCTTGGATGCTCTCGAACTAGGTAGCCAACATTGTGAGCTGTGCCAAGCTTTGGAGTTCGTGACGCCGCAAAAACATCTGGTATGCTGGCAGGGCGTTGTCGTAGATCCTGTTCAACTCCTTGGCGGCGTCGTACCCGACGTGGTGCATGAGTAGCCGTATTTTGATGAGGTAATCCTTGAACAATTCTCCTCTCGCTTGCTTGCGGGCCCGGATTCGGTCTTCCAATTGTTCGAAGTACCGTGGCGGCAAGAAGAAAATCAAGAATTCTTGGCGGAAATATGCCCATGAGCTGCCTTGTAGTTGGCTGGTGCGGTACCAGCGACTGGCCCGATCGGTGAGAAGCTCTGTCATGGCCAGGGGCAGCTGATTCGTGTCCACCCCAGATGAGAGAGCACGTTCTTCGATTAGTTCCAGAAATGCGAGTGGATCGTCCTGTCCGTCGAACCTGATCCCCCATTTCCGAATCTGTTCCGCGATGTGGGCGGTGGAAGAGTCCATGGCTGGCACGATCCTCTGTGTGGGCGAGCGACTGGTCTCCGTAACTGGAGGTCTGGGCAAATCGGCGGGCGTTACGATGCGTGGTGGGCAGGGTGTGCTGTATTCGGCCGCGGTGGGGACTTGTAACCCGGAATAAAAGGGCCAAGATCGGCCGAAAGAGCAGGCAATCCCTCAGCCCAAACACAAGACACTGCACAAGGCAGTCCCTCAGTCACACACCCAAGACACTGTACTACGCAGTCCCTCAGTCACACACCCAAGACACTGCACTAGGCAGTCCCTCAGTCACACACCCAAGACACTGCACTACGCAGTCCACCAGCGCACCATTCAACTACGAGTTAAAGTAGCAGAATTTAAGTGAATGAAGAAAACCGAATACTAAATAAAAACCAAGAAAAATCCAACACAAAAAAAAAACCGTCGCATCATCATTTCTCGCTGCCTACTACATTCTTTTGCAAGCCAGCCCGACACCCGAAGTCACCTACAAACTACAAATTTTCTTGTAGCGGACCCTGGACAGACTGATGCATACCTCAGCCTGAAATAGGACCTCACAAGTGGCGCCCGAGCAGGGAATTTTTGGTGACTTTAAGGAGACTAACACCTTAATACGGAGCTTTGTGGAGTAAAGACCCACGGCCACCGAAGGAAACTAGGCTAGCAAGGATCAATAGCCGTCCAGCACAAAAACGCAACATCCAGTCGCAAGCAAAAGTGCTACAGTACAAAAGTACCACAAACAACCCGTAAGTTAGTGCTACTAACCGCAGAAACACACCATGGAAGCCCACGGAGCCGGCCAACCCGACGAATTTTGCCCGGAGGGACTCCATACCAATCCAGGAGTCACCACCGGCTGGATCTACAAACTCCGGCGGGATGAGCTGGAAGTCCTGGCCGAGGAATTCGGATTCGGAAACGACGGAACAGTCGAGGAACGACGAAAGCGATTCGCCGCACTAGTCGCCGGAACACTCTCGCAGGATGCCTGGGTTCAACTGGCAGACCTCGAACGGCAATACGCCAGACCAGCAGGACGCTCCAAGTCGCCCATGCCCACCACTCCTGGGCCATCTGACCAGCGAAAAACCAGCAGTGTCTTGGGTGTGTGACTGAGGGACTGCGTAGTACAGTTTCTTGGGTGTATGACTGACGGACTGCCTTGTGCAGTGTCTTGTGTTTGGGCTGATGGATTGCCTGCTCTTTCGGCCGATCTTGGCCCTTTTATGCAGCTGGCGATCGCACCTGAGACCCGGATATACTTAATTCTTGCTGACTTAAGGTTATTGGATAACAATAATTGTGGAGCGTGGTAAGTGGGTCGAAGCTTGGTGCTTCGTTGACAATTTTTAGTGGGTCAGGGTGGTTTTGCTGAGGCTGCATCCCGGAAGGTGCGGGCTGCAGTTGGGAAAGGTGATATCTGAATTTGGGTCGGTAGGTCGATAATTTTATGCTAGCTTGACTTATTGTGAAATAACGCCAATGATATTTCCTATGTAGGCCGTCGATTGCGAAATGTCCCAAGAGGTGGGGTGTTTTAAATTATTGTGTGGACAAGAATGTGTAGAGTTGTTGGTCGAGAGTTCTTAATTAATTGTGAGCGTTGCTTAAGACTATTTTATTTCCCGGAGTTGCTGACACACCGCTATTTGTGGAGAACCGTGGCTAGAGCCATGGTTCGTTAGCTCTGTGTATATCAGTTAGATTATTGTCTCCCGCCAGCGTAGATGCGCTGACCCTCCGCCGTTTGTGACGAGCCATGGCTAGAACCATGGTTCGTTACAAGGTGGTAGTTGTGTTAGAGGCAATGCCAATTTGGTTCCATGAATTGCCGAAGGAAGGGTGGGTATAGAGGAACTCGTGATCTCCTATAATTACGATTTCGAACTTAGGGGCGCGACTATCTATCTCTTCTTGCCATCTATGCTGCTCGAGAAATAATTACATTGTGGTATATTTTATTTTGTTTTGATTTTAATCAAGTCCGTTTCAAGTGCACTTAATCTTTTGTAGTATGGCGAGCACAAGGAAGACGTCCTATTATTCCTTCAGGATATGAATAATTTTTGTAAAGAATATTTTTTTTTCGGGGTAGTCAATCATCAGATTTTGAATTATATTCATAAGTTTGCTGTTCATATCGGATTGTTTTTGGGAGAGCTGATCTACTGTCATCTCTGAGCGAACTATTCTTTGGTGTGACTTTATCAGTTTAAGCCTTCGATATGCCTTAGCACGCGTCTGTTTCCGAATAATTTGTTCTAAATTGGCATGTTTAGACAAATAAGCATTCTCTATTTGTCGTCTGATCTTGACATCATCTTCAATAATATTATTCAGGTCTGATTGAATTCTTCTTAACATATAAATCATGCGTTCAATCTTATTGACATCTTCTGTTAAACGATTGTCTGATAGAAATGCTATTTCATTATGTATTAGCATTGCTCTATTGTGAACTTCATCAAGTCGTACCTGAGTTTGAGAAGCAGTTTGAAGTTTTAATATTTTTGCCCTTACATGTTCTTTAATAGTTGCATTAACAAAAATTTGTTCACGGTGCATAACACAATGTTCTAAGTCTTGAACCAGTCTTTCCTGCGCTCGCTTGAGTTGACTATATCTTATATTCATACGATGAATTTCCGTTTTCATTGAGCCTATTTCACTATTCAATGAGCGCTCTGTCTTTGACCATCGAATTGTTTCTTCAAGTAATTTAAATTTTGATTCCCAAGATAATGCTTCTCTATGGTTCTCTATCACTAAGTCTTTATGAAGTTCAATTCCGTTTCGTAATTCAGAGATCACTCCCTCCAACTTTAATATTCCAAGCTCGGCATCCTGATGAAAAGCAAATGATACATTTTTGTAATATATGATTAAATTTGGGAGCATAGGCATACCTTTAGTTTTTGACTGAGCTCAGTCTGCTCGTGTTCAAACTCAGTCTCCTCCAAATCATGGTGTATTCTCTTCTTATACATTTTTTCGTTAAGCATTTCTAGCTTCGATGTATATTTCTGTATATACATACACAAATCTTTAGTCTTATTTTCAGAAATTTCCAGCTCCTGGTCAATTTTTAGAGACTTCTGTTTTATAATAGACAATTCTGCAAAATAAAAATATTATTGTAATAAAATAAATATTTCAAGAGAGCGAACTTCGGTGCGCCGAAATTTATATAATTTTTTTACTTCAGTGACTATTAAATGTGTAAAACTCACTTTAAATTTACATTAAGATTAAGACTGTTAATTTTCAGAACACGTTCGAATATTGAGCTAGGTTAGTTTAGGTTTATAGGGCTGCTCGACCGAAGTCGAGACAAGTCTACCACTTGTGATGCTCACACTCGTCATCGGATATTGTCCGGTGCGTAGGGAGGTTTCGCGAACCATCCCGAGGCCTCTATAAAGAGCACCAGTTTCCCTTGAGGCATGTTTGCCAGGCTGTCCAGGTCTTCGTAGAAGACCGAGTATTCGGTGACGCCTGGTGGTGTTTCACCTCCAGTCTGGTTGTCTCCTTTGAAGTTTCTTTTCCATGAGAACTCTGAAATACAGTAGTCACTCCCCCCGGCCGTTCCACTTTCCTCCCCACGGAGTATAGTGGTGTGACCATAAGGCGATGGCTTAAAGAACTGTGCGGCTAATAACCTAACGTCACTTGTATCAGCCTTGCACTTTAGGTGGAGGTCTTTCGGTTCTAGGTCTAGAATGGTGTCCAGAGCTGGCTGTGGGTTGCTGTCCGTTGGACTCTACGGAGGTTCAGCAGGTGTGATTTGGTGTTAGCCGCTTCCCACCATACCATGCCTCCGTATGTCAGGATTGGTCTTATTACCGCTGTATACATCCAATGGATGATGTGCGGCTGTGAGCCACATGTTTGTCCAAAAGTCTTCCTATAGGTGTTTTTTTTTCTCATGGATACGCCAATGGGGATGGAAATCTTCCTGAAGTTACCAATGGCCCGTGCTATTGGCATGAACGATTCCTTGCTCAAGTCAAGTCGATTCACCCCCACACAACAACACACCTCTCCCCCGCGGGATCACCCGCGGCGGGGGAACATTTCCCGTCCATGCTGCATATCGACGACAGCTGTAGAGGACAGGCTCCGGATCTTCGACTGCGGTTGGGCACGTAGGGCAGTAGGGACTCGTATCGTGCTTGAATTTGAATAGGTAGCCACGATAACCACCATGTCCTGTAAGGAACTGGGTTGTGTGGTAGTCCACCATGCCTCTGCTACTGTCGGTCCAATTCTTGACGTTGCCGATCAGTCTGTGCGTCCATCTCCCTTTGCTGCTTTGGTTCCACCATTCTTGCCATGTTTCGATGAAACGTTGTCTCTCCATGTCAGGGTTAACATCCGCACCGCCTTCGCTTTCCTGTTCCGAGCGCCTTGCGTATATGGCCTGCATCTCCCTGGCCAGTATGTCCACTGGCAGCATTCCCGCCAGTACGAGTGCTGCATCCTCGGACACAGTCCTAAAACCGGATATGACTATCAGAACGTCTAGCCTGTATGGTGCAGCCAGCTTTCTCCTCAGGCTCTTGTTGTGGACCACTGTTGTCGCCCACACTGGCGCTGCGTAGAGAAAGATGGAGGACACTACGCTTGCTATAAGCCTTCGGCGTCCAGCCATGGGACCACCTACGTTGGACAGAATGCGAGAAAGGGCTCCCTGCATTTTCGCTTCTTTTTGACGGGCATACTCTACATGCGAGCGGAAGTTTAAAAGGTTGTCCAGCATCACGCCCAGGTACTTGATCGCGTCTTGCGACTTTATTAGGTCCGCTCCTACTCGCACTATAGCATACTCCAGGGTCTTCCTGCTCGTGATCAGGATCGCTTCTGTCTTATGACTGGCCAAGTCTAGACCAGCTTCTCGTATCCAACTGGCAAATGCTTAGATAGCTGTGTTGGCTGCGGACTCGATTCCCCTGATCTCGATGGCTACAACGACTAGTGCCAGGTCGTCGGCGAAGCCAATTAGCTGGCATCCTGCTGGTAGCTGCAGTCTAGGCACGCCGTCGTACATTAAGTTCCACAGGAGCGTTCCAAGAACCGATCCTTGCGGAACTCCTGCCGTGACCTCGTACTCTGTCTCTCCTTCCTCCGTCTCGTACCCTAGCATCCTATCCGAGAGGTAGCTGGAGATTATCCTCAGCAGATACCCTGGTACTCCGATCCGGCGCAGTGCAAACTCAATGTTTCACCAACTGGCCGAGTTAAAAGCGTTTCGGATTTCGAGCGTCACTACGACGCAGTTCTCCTTCGTACCCCACCTCCATATTTTCCCCTCTATGGCTTTCGTCGCGATGTTGACCACCGCCATAATGGCGTCCACTCTCGAGTGAGCTTTCCGGAAGCCGTATTGTGCCTCGGATAGAGCTTCTGTCTTCTCTATGAACTCTAGGAGCCTGTTGTAGAGAACTCTCTCTAGCAGCTCTCCCACTGTGTCCAACAGGAATATTGGCCAGTACCCAGACGGTTCGTCTGGTGGCTTGTTGCCTTTAGGCAGCAGGATGATCCGTTGCCGCTTCCACCGTTTCGGGAAATTTCCCTCACCCAGACAGCAGTTAAAGGCGTCGACAAAGAGTTAATGTCGGATGGCCCCTGCGAGCTTTAGGGCCCTGTTGGGAATTCCATCTAGCCCTGGCGCTTTCCTGTCCCCGACCCTCCGGGTAGCTTTGGTAGCGTCGGTTACCTCCCTGGTGGATACTGGATCGTAGGGAGCCTCCTCCTGTGATGGGTTTGATTCTTCCCTCTATGGATGCCTGGGAAACAGCGCTGTCACTAAAGTTCGCAGCATCTCAAGGCATGTGGGTGTTGGCGCGCTTACCCCTCTGATCCTCTTGGTGACTAACTTGTATGCAGTGCCCCAAGGATCTACGTCTGCTTCGTCGCAGATGCGGCCGAAGTTGTCGCTCTTGCTCCTTTTGATGGCCACTTTCAGCTCCTGTTTCGCCATGCAGGATTCTGCTTGCCTATTGTCGAAGTCCTGGCGGCCTCTCGCTCGTTGGGCGCGACGTGTCGCTCTGAGGCAGGCGGTCCTGATTTCAGCAATCTCCTGCGTCCACCAGTAGCAGGGTGTTCCACGTAGATACGGCTTCCTTTTAGCCATAGATACGTTGCATGCGTCAACGATTCGCTACGTCAGTTCCCTTGCTACGTACTCCGCTGAGTTGCCAGCTGGGCTCCACTCGCAGCAGCTGTAGAAAGTTACGCCGCTGAGTCTGGCTCGCACGAAGCTCTCCCTGGACACGTCAGTATCCAGGGGCGGGGTCAGTACGCCCCAGATCGCGGCCTTCCTACACTTGCTCTGTATCCATCCACTGCCTGGTACGGGTTTGTAGGGTTCACATACCAGGTCTCCTCTCCTTGTGTGTACCTCATGCTAGCCGTTTAGCAAGTACCTTCTTAAAGAGAGGACACCTGCCACTGCCTGCGACATGCCTCCAGTCTCCATACTTGCGCTTGCAGAGCATGCACTGAGGATCCTGTTCGCAATCCTTTGCGAGGTGGTCCTCCTTGACGCATCTTCGGCACATATTTAATCGGTCAGTCTCGCTCCTGCACTGCCTGGCCAGTGCGCCTTAAGCGCGCCTACTTTCAAGGCCCTGCGGTCGTCCTCTGTCGAAAGTCGGATCGTCGCAATCTGCGTCTGTCCGTACCTCTTCCTGAGGCTTATGTCGTCCAGTGCCACATTTGGCAGCTGCACTTGGGACATGATGGCCTCCCTTATATCCTCTTTGGTGGTGCGGACACCTGCTACCTCTCCCAGTTACTCGCCAACCAAGTTCTGGAAGGATGAGGTTTCCTTTTCAGACTTGTTTAGCTGGAGAAGGAGTTCACCCTTCTGGGTACGGCAATTTCTTGCCACAGCTTCGACTAGCCCCTGAAGCTTCTCGTCCAGCTTAAGCTTGCACAGAATATCTGCGTAGATACTCGGGTCTTTCGCCTCTATGATGATGGCATCAGGGCGTGCCCTTTCGGTAGGCTCACGAGTAGGCTTAGGTTTTCTAGACCTCGTCTTTCCCGTCACCTTTTTCCACCCCGTGTTCGCTGGAGGTGCCGTTGGAGTCTCCATGTTGGCTGCTTCGTGTGTCTTTGTTTCTACTGCGACAGAGCAGGTTGCCGTCTGGGTAACAGCCCCTTTGCTCCTCTTGTTGCCTGGAGTGTTCGCGTTCGTCTCCACCGCTGTCCGGAACAACGGCGAGGCTTGGAAGGACTGGTGGGTGCGTATGACCGCCTTCGCCTTGTCATCGTGGAGCTGGATAGCCACGAGCTCGTAGATCACCCGGATGCTCTCTATAGAGTTCCTCATTGGCTGGTGGATGGAGCGCCTCATTCCGGCCTCCAGCATTTCCTCCAGATTAGCGATCTCCTGGCCAAGGTCGTGTAGAGCCGTGCTGCTCTGCTCCTTTTGTGGTCGCTCCATTTGACTCCTTTCCTGGGCTCCTCTGCCTACTGTAGCTGCTGGTCTCACCTCATCCGGTGATCTCGCCAGTCTTGCACTCTTCGCGAATGCCTTTTCTGCCTCCGTCTCTGTTTGTGGTTTTAAAAATGTATCCATTCTGCTGGGTCCCAACTCCCGGGTCATTGTTCCCCTTCGTTCGTGCAGTCAGGTTGCTGATCCCATGGTCGTCTTTGCAAGCAGTGAGGCCATGCTAGGGTTGACTCTTGCCTTCACGGGGTTGCATTTACTGCTTCAGAAAGGAATCGACCTGACCGCTACCAAGTTAGCGGTAATCAGAGTCTTTCCGCCTGCTAGAGGCACCTTTCCTTGCAGAGAAATCCCCTTGTCATATCTGTCGGTAGTTTACAACAGAATATGACTGACTCGCGTCGTCGAATTCCATGGGAGTGTCCAGTATTCTAATCCAGGCTGTACTGGTCTCGGCCTTGATGCCGTTTTTGTCGCCTTTTGCGACCAGCAGCGGCTCGCTATGGCTGTGCCTAAAGGAGGACAATCTCACCCCACCCCTCTGGCCATCGTCCTGCGCTCCGCCTTGTTCGCCGTCTTGGGGTTGACGAGGCTGCGCCGTACAAGATTTGGAGGCTCACTCGTTGTGTACCGGTCTCACGCTCCCTACAACCATTTGG